AACAACTTTAAAAGGAAGACTTTAAAAATATATAATGTTGCAGGTAATTATAGTTGCATTGGTTTCTTGAGTATTAATTAAATAAAATATTTTAATTCTAACAACGAGAATTAATTAGCAGCTTGCAGTATTTTAAATTAATTACTTAGATCTTATTCCCGTAATTTTTTCAAAAATATCGCAGACACAAGTAGCAGTTAATTTATGTAAAAATTTGTTAGATAAAAGCATATATTCCGTTGTTATCCTGACAGAGCCAGTTTTGAATATCTGATAATTTCTTGTTTCAGAGAAAAAGCACCTGTTACTTATTTGTGGCCAATTAAACCAGGAAAAATAATAGAATGACGTAATGTTAAAGAAATCTGAAGCTAGCAACATAAAAAATAGACACAAACCTAAACAAAAACGTCCATTTGATTTTACACAATCTGATGATGATGATGCTACCATGCTAACGCTGTGTTCAACATTTGTGGTATTTTTTTTCATCTGTAAATAAATTAAGTCTTTAAAAAAATATATCGAACGGGAATCGAGCTCAGGACGCACACGTGACAGGCGAGCTTTCTATCACTGAAACCAAGCGTATATAATATACTTATAATGCTCGCCTTCTAGTACGTAACCCGCGTTTTTTAAATTAACAGCAACACACGCAAATGATTTTTATTTTATGCACATTTAAGATACACTACCTTTCGAACGATATGAGTTTCACTTCTCTTCCTTTTGTAATAAATACCGAATAAAGTATCAAAAGATTAACGTATGTATATTAATATCACAGCCGTCTCTACTTACAAGCCATGCTGAAGGTTTACTTGGCAACACTGTGGGAGTCCCAGGATTTCCCAGTTAATGAGAGTTACAACTAATACACTGGTTGTTGTGTTTTTTTCGTTGTTCTATAATATTTTAATTGTAGCGGAAATATCGTGCAGTAAATGTGCAATAAGGATGATTACAGTGTGTTATAGTGATTAATACCTTGGGATGCAGTTTTTAATTACAGAACTATTATGTGAAAGAAGTGAAAATGTTTTAGGTCAGATTGTGTGTTTTAGTTGTAAATTTTCTTGTTTATTTCTTAACAAAATGCCTCTCGTCGTTGTGTTCCCAGTTGCAATTCAAATTATAAATCATCTTTAAAATGTAAGTACAAGTATGTCTATATTTTTATTCCCAAAAAAATGATGAAATGCGAAAAAAATGCATAAGTACTATACCTCGCAAAGATTGGACTCCATGAAAATATTCTGGAGTTTACATACATCACTTTAACGAAAGTGACATTATAAAAACAGTAAAAAAAAGTATCCACTGCCGGTAATGTTTTGAGTGTGCTTTTAACATATCCTAAATTACCAGAGAAAAATGAAACAGGAATTTAAATTGTTGAAGAGTCTCCCTTAAACATAAGTCAGTTTATTGAAATTTTAAATTCCGATTTTTTAATGAATTGTGATTTAGATGACTCCTTAAAAATTTCCATTTCAGGATATGCAGTTCATTCTGCTCGTAAAAAGATAACTTGCAACAATTGTGTTTCGCTCATAATAAACAATAAAGGCTCTTGCGTTGGAGATATTTATTTTGATTATTTACAAAGGGGAGGACTTTCTGTTCCTACTGATAATATTAGTATAGTTTTTTTTCACTTTTATGCCATTCTTGAAGAAATAAGTAATAACGAATATCTGCAGACACAATATTTACGGGCTGAACTCCAAAAATCAATTTTAGGAAAATTAACTATTTTCAAAAATATTTAGTTTTGGAAAACACTATAAAGATATATTCTTCCAAATTTTATCTTCTTTTGCTAATGTTTTGCTTAATGATTACGTTAAAATTATAAATTATAGAAAGCAAGAGTCCCGCCACTCCAATTCAAATTCAGCTAACTGTAAGACAGCAAAAATCCGTAAATTAGAAATTGTAATTAGTTTTTTCTAATGGGATGGCAGGGCTATTGGTGAACCCCAAAAAAAGCTAACGCGCCTTGGCAATACTTCAATTGTGGTGTGGAAATTTGCTTTAATAAAATTACAATTATCGAGATGAAATTCATGTAGGTACCTAACAATGTTTACACCTAATCTTTTGTCTTTTCTATTTTATTCTTAATACCTACATGTTGAAGTGTATTTTAAATAACGTCACATACTATCAGTGATGAACAAATGTTAGTTATTTAATAATTCAATTAATTTTTATCGTAATGGGTGTCTAAAAATCATGTGTAACTACGTGAATTTATAACAACTAAGACTCGCAGAATAGGACTCTCACATCGAAGCAATGCGCTGTTGCCAAATTTCTCAGCATGGCTTGTATTAGAGACGGCTGTGTTAATATATAAGCAATACATTAAAAAGGTTCGATGAAATTGACATACCTCAATTCTTTCATTGAATTCATCTATTGAATTGTGCTCAAATGTTTCGGTAGTAGAGGGTTTTGCATTTGTATTTTTGTTATCAATAGCTATAGCAGTTGCTGTCCCATATAATATCAAATCCCATGCACGCACTTCTGCATCTATAAAAGATAATGCTATATTTAATTATTATCTATATCAGAATATGTAAAAAAAAAAAATAAAATATTTTATATTCTAAAATTACATAAAATACTATCAAAAAATAAATACAAGAATCTTGGGATTAATAGGGCTATTATTAATTCTAGTTATCTAGAACATGCAACACAACAACCATGCAAGAAACACATTTTTACCGTTAGTTTTTCCCCTAATAGTAGTAAGAATTTCAGTGGTAGTAGTTGATTCGATTATTTTATTTTTTAATGTTTTACTGTTCTGGTTAGAGTTTAAATCGCGACTTTTTTCTTTCGGTTTCTGAGTTTTTTTGAGCGATTCTCTTGATATGGTTCCTCGAGACACGGGAATCATCAGAGGGTATGTTACACTAATATTTTTAACAAATTTCCAATACGGTCTTATATTAACATTCATTAAACTAAAATTGTTTTTATTGGCGTTATAAAACAAGTGTGGAATGGTAGGAATGACCGTAGGGGTTGTAAACAGTTTTCTATTTTTACTCGAAACTGGAGTAACCTTGGCAGAAAAAAATCTATTATTATTTATGCTACTATTGTTATGATTATTATTATTATTCCTGTGCTTAGTTTTATTTGTCGTTTTCGGAAGTTTTACGTTTGTCGAGGCAATTTTCGTTTTTTTTTGTTTTTTACTCGTTTTCTTTTTTAAATTCGGCCTAACTCTGAAATTCTTATTGTAATTGGGCTGTTCAGAAATTGAAACAAACTCTTTTGTTCCGTAGAGCACAAGAGACCAATTTTGAAGAACAGCACGGCCTGTAAGTTTTAAAAGGTTAGTTATTAGTAATGACAACGTTTTTATTTTTTGTTATGCTGAAATAATTTGTTAATTTTATTGCGTGTCATTGGAAATCAGGGTAACATTTACCTAACAATCGGTCATCATTGTGTATTTCCAGCTGCCAAATTCCCAGAGGTGATTCTCCCCAGGAATGAACTGACATAAAAGGCCAATGATTAAAACCAGCTTTAGACATATCATTAGCTCTGTAAAAACGCCATAATTCACCATATTAATAGTTTACACATAAAAGGCTTTAAAGTAAAGTACCTGTGTGCTAATAACATTACCCTGGTACCCATAGGAGAAATCAATTGAATCCTGAGATCTCCTCGTCTTTGAGAGATAATGGTAAGTTTAGCTTGAACGTGCTCTAAAAGTTTAATACCCTCACATTCCTTCACTTCAAGTTGCAATTTAACGACACTCTTAGCAGGTATTATCCTAAATAAAATTAATTACATAAGTATCATTACCTTTAATAACTAAACTATATTACTTTTGACCATGCGGCGCGCTTTTTTCACACTTAAGTTGTTCAGGTACAGTAATCCATCGTTTTGCTAGTTGAACCATGGCATAAGCATCCATTAGACCATAACCAAAACTATGGGATACGTTTCTTCCAACCCCATTAATTTTCCAATCAGATGCAATAAGATTTTGAGGTCGTGCAGTTCGAACAACTATGTGCTGCATGTCACGCCAAGTAAGATTTGGGTTTGCTTCCAACGCTAGCGCACAAATTCCGGCAGCTAAGGGGGCAGAAGCACTGGTTCCAGTATGACTACTAGTACATGAATGATGCAGGTCAGTGGTAACTACTTGTCTCTCTTCAACTGCGCCGCTACTGTACGTTGAAGCCAATGTTGAACTACATGCTTCACTGTACCAAGGTACATGACCATGTTCTGTAGCACTGGATATTGAAAGAGTATAAATAGAGTTCGTATATCCGTCACAATTACAATTGTCGTGGTCTCTACCGCCATTTCCAGATGCCCAAACAAATATTGACCCCTTGCCATTGCGACCCTACAAAACAAAACATTTTTCATTGAATTTTCTATCTACCCAATATCTTTAGCTGGTATTTTTTTCTTTCAATCCTCTTATACCTTTGTTACTCCTTCCATGAAGGCTCTTGTGGCAAATTCACCAGGTCCATCGACTGTTTTCCCGTCATCATCAGGTCCCCAAGAAGCACTATAAATATCAATGTGTTGTGGATTATAACTAAGCGATCTAGCTTCTACGGCATCGGTAACATCTCCATCTAGCATCCTGACTCCTCCTACTTGAGCACCATGTGCCACTCCAAGAGCGCAAATTGAATTATTACTTACAGCAGCCACTTCACCAGCACATCTTGTTCCATGCCTATTGGAGTCGATCATGTCATATCGAGGACTAGGATCAGAATCTTGATCATTTACATCGTAGGATGCCATAGGATCCTACAGAAAGTAATAAAATCAATTACAAATAGCTCAAATTAATGAACAAAATTTAATATATTTATTACATAATTTTGACTCAAGTCTGGATGGTCCTTTTCTAAACCATCGTCTAAAATAGTTACAACTGCTCCTTTTCCAGTAATACCATCTAACCAGGCTGGAATGACATTCATATCTAGACCATTGCCACGATTCTATAGAAAAAAAGGTAAATACATGATTACTGGAATGCATCATACAGGGTAAATAACGTACCAAATACCACATGTTCGGCCAACGTGGGTCAGAGTCCTGAAGTTTATAATCTCTTTTAATTCTTTTTTTAGCTACTTGTTGTTCGGCCCAAAGAACTCGAGTATCTACACTTAACGAAGTCTTTCTCTGTATGTCAGGTCCGAGAGATCGTTTAGTCATCTTCGGATGTTCAAAGTGATAGTAGTCAGGAAAAATCTAAAAAACAGTATTTTTTTATATCTTATTTCAGGCACGTATTATTACGGGAGTATAAACATAATAAGCTTGTTAAGTGGAACGAATTTTCAATAAAAAAATATATAAAAATGTAGTTACTTTCCGGATACGACCTTTGATCATGCAGAGTAATGCATTATATGAATGCGTAATATGTATTTATTAACTATTGCCTTGAGACTAATATTGGTATTTTTTAAACGGCGATATTATCATTTAAAATAAACAAATTGCAAAAAAATTTATTCTAAATCTTATCCCAAGATGTTACTCATTAAAAACAGTGTTCGTTAAAGAAATTAATAAAAAAAAAACATCTTATTTAGTCTAGATTTTACGTACATACTTCTTCTTCTTAAATCTTATCTTTGAAGAGTTAAGTATTTTAGGCGATTATTAAAAACAAAACAGTGAACAGTGATAAGACAATATCTAACATTACACGGTTTTAAAATTATCCTTGCTAGTCAAAGGTTAAGATGTTTCACGCTTTACACTGACTGAATTCGTTAATTTATTTAACTGTACCATCAGTAAACTGAATTTCTAATTGATGTAGCATGCTTATAGTTAATTTAGGATATTGCTGGAGATTTACTTATTCTAATGTCCAATGCGTGAGCTAGTTAAATATATCCATTTAAATGCCGAATGTAATTAATACTGCTTGCTGACTTTTAAAAACTATTTACATAAATGTAATCTTTTTTGTATGAATCCTGTATATTTCCACTGGAGCATTTCTTAAAACAAGATACACACAACTGAAGTTTAGAGTTATTAGCATACTTACGTTAGAACCATTTCAACGTTTACTTTAAAGTCTACATCAATATTTTACATAACTATAAGACAGTTAGTTACACACGAGCAGCAAATAAATTTGTTATTTCGAACTAAAATTAGACAACTGACGCCAAATGTCTTTTAATTATTAGTAATACGATGTTAAAATTTGAAAACAATTTCAAACTTAATTTTCTTCTATTTTCTGGGTTGAAAATGCGCACAATATTAAAAGAAAAATAATAATAACAGAAATATAAGCGATACACGCTAAACGTTTAATTGTGGACGATGTTGAACTTCTGTTACAAGTAATTTTTTATTAAAAATTTACAATACATCCTAAATTGAAAAGAAAATTGTCAGTCTCTCTGTATCTTCGAAACAGCTCAATCGATTTCGATATGACTTTACAGAGACGAAGAGAAGGTTGTCAGGAGTGTAAAGTATACGAAGATGTCTACATTGTTTTTATTTGTCTGTCACGTCTATCTGTTTGTACGAAGTAATCATCAAAACAGCAGAACCGATTTCGATGAGACTTTTTTTTACTTAAACGAAATCGCGGAATAAAAGCTAGTATAAAATATAATATGATCAAAAATAGCTAATAAAATAAACACGACTTACTTGAAACTAATAAAAAATAAGTACATACATAGTTATAAATATAAAAATTGGGAAAAACATTAATTTTCACATTTCAATTAGGTAACATCAATATCGCAATTAATTTTTTATTATTATTTAATTATTAAAGTTCCGTTTTTACTTAAAAGATACTAAACGAACCTAGCTGGAATTCTGAAAACCGGAACCCTTCGATTGGCTTCAAATTTATTATTGTATTACTTATTACACTTTTCACTAGACTTGACATATTAAAACACCTAAAAGAATTTTGGCGACTGGAGCAGGAAAGGGCGAAAAAAATGTGTTTCCAATTTTTTATAGTTCAAAATTCTAAATTATTAACGCCCCTCAAGCATACCTCCTTTACTGTCCTTAAGATTGTATGAACAAAAAATTATTAACTATGGTTGTAGCTGTAAAGAATAGGGTGGTATCTTAAACAGATTCGCATTGTTGTAAATAAAACAAATACACAGCAACGACAATATTTACTTCGTTCGTATTGCCTTTTCCTATTATAAACAATCAAAGCAACACGAAGTGAGTGTTGTCGCTGCCTGGTTTACAGCATTGAACCACAAAAGAAGGTCAAGTCATCAACATTTTTTTCTATAGCTACAACCAATGATAAGAATTTTTGTTTATACAATCAATAGAACAAGAAAGGATATGTGGACATAAAACCTACTTTTTAAAAAATTACGCTACTATTGCGAACTTTAAGCTATTACGACAAAATTGGACTTTTTGTCACTCCTTCCAGTTCGAGTTGCCAAAAATCCCTTCACATATCTACTATCTTTTGGAGAGTAATTGAATGTTTCTGGGAAATTTCAAGAGATTCTGACGGTTCCCGCATTCAGAACTCTAGCCAGGAACCCTTACAGTGAGATCTTGTCGGTATGATACAGGCGCCACCCAAACATGAGCTACGTCATTTGGTTATGAAGCGCGTGAAAATTCCTAGGGATCAAGCATTTATGTATTCATGTTTTCTCATCAATATTTCTTTGACAATCATGTACGTTGAAAACTGAGAGGGGCTAAGCCCTCCAGTTGTCAATTGGGAGGTTTGAACTCCTCTACCCCCTCTTGGACGACCCTTACATACACCTATATACGTATTGGTCTTTTCTTTCTGGCAAGAGCTAATGGTGTAAACTATTAACTTGAAAATTTGGCGTAATGAAAAATTTTTTTTAATTTAATATGGGTTCCAAACTAGGGAGGCGGGGAGTTCAAATTTAAAACTGAGGTGTTAAGTGAGGTATAATATGAAAGATCTCGCATACATATACGGTAGAAAAATAATAAATAGACACTTACCTCTCCTAAATTTCTAAATCCATGATCTTGTGCTAATTTGTCGGCTACTTCTTTTCCTCCGAGTACATGAACAGCCCACTGATGTGTGTAATGTCCAAAAGACACGTGAAACACAACACAGGAAACATAATAGTAGAACTTTATCATCGTTCGATTAATCAATTCCTTCTACTACGGTCGTGTTTTTTTATTATTAACTATTTGTCATACTTGCATTAATGTAAATAAAACTATTTGCGAAAAAATATCACACGGCAACACTTTATTTTTTTTATCGAACAATGGTCGATCCTTAACATCATTCCATGTGATTTCTGAAAAATATATTTATATTAAGCACCAACGTATAAATTTATACAATAACTTCATTTACAGTTTTTTGTAACCCTAATCGTAAAAAAATTCAATCACTCGTCTTTATCGTTTGTAACACATTTTTTACTGATAGGAAATCTGTGAACGGCAATAAAACAGAACTACCTTTTTACTTGGTTTAGCAAGGAAATAAAATTGTACAATAAATAACAGCTATTAAACTTTAGTAAGATACGTTATTAGATTTACTGAAAATTAAAAAAACGTATGCTTCGGGGATCGCAAATATTTAAAAAGGTAAAATACACTGATTCATGTTCAAGTTAATTCTAAAAATAATTCACAATTTCTACGCAATTACAAAGTTTGTTTATTACAATATGCATGGTTTTGTACTATAATATATGTAATCTTTCGTTGTGGGATTTTCAAGCCATTTGACAAAATCGTGAAACACAAAAATACATTTATCGGAGTTTGTTTTTATAATTTTTGCAATCATAAACATAGACGCTTGTCATGGTATAATTTAACAAACAACTATCACAAAATAAATTCAACAATAACTTTAACATGTGTACTTATAATTACATACACAAACATGTTACAATATTGAATATGTATAAAAGTACATTAAAACTTTTATTTTGAGCTATACAGGGTGGTTATTTACGTACAGTTAAAATGAATTTACTTCCGAACAGGCAGATAGGTATGTTTAACTGGTATATCTATTTACGTTCAATTTTTTCCTTAAAATAAGTATTTAATTTAAAAGCTAAACGACAAAAATAATGCTTCAAAATTTAATAATGCCGACATACTGAGTACCTACTACTTCAAGGTCGAGGCTAACCCAAGAAACCTAGTATAGTAGTCGAATAACATAATCATTCTTCAAAGGTAAATACATCCAGGTATAAAATACCTAAACTTAATTGTAGCTCAAAGAATAACACGAAATTGACTTGGGGACTTTTTACTGAACTGTTTCTAGTTTGCCGGTTTTTCCTGTAAGTTACATACCTTTTTAATTTATAATTTTTATTATGACATCATGATAGCATACTGTAACAAGATTATTTCATAATCTTTATTCAATAAAAAAGTGTCCGATTGAGTATATTTCACATTCTGATTTTGTCTATGTTCTGATTCATCATTAACTGTACAATTATATATTGTAAAATAAAAACTTATTAAAAGTAAATTTTTCATATACTATAAATTTCTATCTCAAAAAGTAACGATTATTACTTCACAAATTAACGAGGTTATGCAAATTGATGAAATTTTTGATGCTTGAAACATTCAGTCTACATTGATTATTTATTATAAAATATGGAACACGATGGCAATTTTTAATGAAGACAGAATATTTCACAATTCCACATTAATAATAATTATAATACATAAATTCGACAGACGTCAAATAAAGACTGCAGCATCCCTGTTCATCACATGTATCTATATTAAATGCTTCTCAATGAAAAATTGATGAGTGTTAATTAAAAACAAACCTGGTTCGGAAGTGTTGTAAAAACTCTCATGCAATACACAGTCCATTACTGGATTATTCTTGCATATATTACACTATCACATGCGTAATCCTGCATGGCGTTTGACGTACAATGCATAGTTACAATGCGTACAACCCACCACACGACAACAAAATCACAACCATCACAACTTTATCTATGATCACAACTGTTTTCAACTTATTTCAACTGTTTTTTTGTTGATCACAGTTTCACACTTTCACAGTTGTAGTTTTAACAAAAAAACTACAAAGAAATCTTTTCTAATATTAAGAAGGATAGTTTTCGTTTCAACATTATATTTTAGATAGCGTTGCAATAGTTCTTAATCTTTAGAATTATTTTGAATTTATTCATTAATAGTAAAACAATGTTATTATCGCAGTATCTGATAATAAGTTAATGCAATAAGTACCCAAGTTCCAAATTTATGCCATAAAAGGCAGAAAGTCTTCAAGGCCGTCCCTTTCTATATTAAATAAAATTTCTTCAGGTTTTTCTACTCTATATAGTCATTTAGATTAACTTTTTAACGCCAAAATTTTTTCTTGAATATTCTCCTTCCAGAAAGCTTAAGGTACCGAGGGGTCTTTTTCCAAATGGTCGGTTTAATAAAAGCATTAAAAATTTCTGTCTGTGAGTTTCCAGTAAATAACGCAAAAAATATTACAGACCCCTTGCTTCAATTGAAAATTTACTTTAAAGCCTGAAGAGTTTTTAGAATAAAAGAGAAAGACTGGCAGTTCCAAGGCATCATTGTTTTTTAAAGAGCGGTGGATCAAAAAGGAATTAATACTGCATTAATGTACATTATACAGGGTTTATCGGAAAGACAAAATACATACGTATTCTTTTTATTTTTTGCATGAACTTACCTTTTTAAATTCTGAAAATTACAGACTGAAAAATATTTACTTGTCACTGTCAACTTCTTCAAAAAAAAAAAAAAGAAAAAGGAAAATAGAAGAAATAAGTTCGTAANTGATCACAGTTTCACACTTTCACAGTTGTAGTTTTAACAAAAAAACTACAAAGAAATCTTTTCTAATATTAAGAAGGATAGTTTTCGTTTCAACATTATATTTTAGATAGCGTTGCAATAGTTCTTAATCTTTAGAATTATTTTGAATTTATTCATTAATTATTGTTGTTTCTTACGCTAATATCGTTAAAATAAATTCATAAATTTAATTTTAATTTTGTAATGGACAAATTTTATATGCTAAATCGTATAAAATGTGTAATATATATTAAAGTACTTAATTTTATGGCTCTGTCATAGATAGCGCTATTCATATGGTAATATTTTGCCGGCTTTTATTCTTGTTGTTCTGTGTTCTATGGTCCTTGCATAGATTGTCTGGTCTTGTCTTTCTGAAATGGTGTTGGTGTTGGCCTGACGTCACCTGTTCCACGGTGGCTGATAGCGTTAAGTCGGAATTATTTTTTTTACAAATAATAATATGAATTTTGTGTTAAAAATACAATGTGAACTTCCCTAGTGTTGTTACTTTTGAGGTGTAAAGAACAATTTTTCTTTGTTCGTCGTTAATTCAGAATTTTTAGTGTCAATATGTCACATTTTCTGATGGGCGATATATTCGATACAAATTCGAACAGTGAAGAGGATATGGATAATTCTTCTTTGAATGACATAAATTTATCATTTAACTACGAAAATGGAGATCTCATGGTTAGTGAATTACTTAGTATTGTTTAGCAAATAATCAATGTATTGCTGGATAACTGGTTTGGGTCATTAACGGTCATGTCGAAATAGTTTACAGTTAGGAATGTGTATTTACTTGTAGAGCTCGGAGTTCTTCGATAATGTTAATTTAATGGAACGTGAAAATGCCCAAGATGGTCTCTTCAATCTTGAAAGCGATTTTTGTTTTCTAAGTGATAACAGTTCTCATGCTGATGAGGTGAAATCAGAAAAGAGTACTTCTTCAGACAGTGGAAAGTCAAGCACCTGTTATGATCAAGACATGTAATTATTGGTGCTTTTGTGCATTATTAATTCAAATATTGATGTAAATATGTTTTAGTTTTCAAAACAATCTCAATAACATTCTCTTAAATGATGACAATATTTTAATGTCAGAATGTAAGCCCACATTTGAAGATGAATCCGAAACTTTTCCTGTGATTAAAAATAGCCAAATTAAAATTATTGGACAAAACCCTGGTACCAAAAGAGTTATTGTTACAAACCCCTACAATACAATAGGTAAAAAATTACTTGTGTACATTGTAATATATAATCCTAACTATTCTAAAATTACATTTAGTGATATCTAACAATTTAACTAGAACAAATAATGAGTACTATTTAGCGGCAATTATGTGTTTTAATGATAGTGATATCAATTTATAAGTGTTTTATCAGAATTTTTGTTTGTTTAGCTTCATTTTGAAAGGTAAAGTGCTGTTATCATATTTATTCAGATTGTAACAATCTAGACAATATTACAAAAATAACAGCTGATTCATGTTCAAGTTAATTCTAAAAATAATTCACAATTTCTACGCAATTACAAAGTTTGTTTATTACAATATGCATGGTTTTGTACTATAATATATGTAATCTTTCGTTGTGGGATTTTCAAGCCATTTGACAAAATCGTGAAACACAAAAATACATTTATCGGAGTTTGTTTTTATAATTTTTGCAATCATAAACATAGACGCTTGTCATGGTATAATTTAACAAACAACTATCACAAAATAAATTCAACAATAACTTTAACATGTGTACTTATAATTACATACACAAACATGTTACAATATTGAATATGTATAAAAGTACATTAANTTAATCCCCAAGAATTACAAGAGAAAAGTATAAAAATTTCCAACACAAATGATGTGATTTCTGAAAAGAAAAGGTTAATTCCAATACCCAAAATAGCTGAAGGTATTTGAATATTTCATCTTGTTGTAAATGTGTTAATGCTGAAAAAATTGTTCAGGTTTGGGTTGTAATCAGGAAGCAGGAAAAGTTAATACTGGAAGAACATGCCAATACCCTCCTTTAGTTTTATCAGATGAAGAGAAACGTTTACTTATGAAAGAAGGTTGGTTTTTCTATTTGCTTTATTAATAAGACACTTCTACTAATGTATTTTTCTATCAGGGATAAAGCTACCTACACATTATCCTCTTACAAAAAGCGAAGAAAAGGAATTAAAACGTATTCGAAGGAAAATCCGCAACAAAATTTCAGCTCAAGATTCAAGAAAGCGTAAGAAAGAGTATGTGGACGGTTTAGAGGAAAGGTATGACACTGTTATTATTCTGGTTTTAGATCATCTGTGCTTACTGCTAAAACGCTTAAGCTGTATTATTTTTATTTTAATTTAATTGATTGATTTTTTTCGTTAGAGTAAAGCGTGGATCAGAAGAAAATAAATTCTTGTTAAAGAGAGTGAAACAACTTCAGAAGCAAAACAGTAGACTGATGGCTCAGCTTAGCAAACTGCAAGCATTAATATTTGACAACAGCTCTACTAAAGCTACCCCAGCAACTTGTCTTATGATTGTTTTGTTTTCTGCACTTTTGGTTTCTTTGCCTAATATGAGAGTTGCTCAGGATAAAGAATTAGGCGACCAACAGCAGATTGCAGCAAGAAGAGCTTTATTATTTAGTCATTCAGGTATTTGTTCATACATTTATAATGTATGGAAGATGCTTAATAATTCATAAAATGTTTATTTCTTGCAATTGTTGAGTTAGGTGTGTAATTAAAAAGCGATTTTGATGTTAATTATTTGCTCTATAATTCCTCTATAGTGGTGTTTGTGAAGTTAATGATGCAATTTTGGTTTACTATTCTCATTTAAATCAAATTAAGTCAAGACTTTCTAATTGCAATAGTAAATATTATGCACAATTTTTATTTTGATTTCAGCAACGAATGAAGAAGACACCCTTAATATGGAAGAATTCCTATTATTTGGTAAAGAGGATTCGGAAGGGGATGATAGGTATTCAAAGTATGAGGAACAAATTGAGAAAGTGGATTTCTCCAAGATCCTTGAGCAGTTGAATAAAAATTTAGAAACTGGAGAGAGCAACTGTTCAGAAAGTGAGGTAAAAAATTCATTGTTCTTTGAAACATGTAAAAAATTTGAAAAAGAAATTAAAGACACAGTTCATAATTTAAAGACTGCTCTGAATGACTTTAACAATGAAATAAACGATGACAAGGCAATGAAAAATAAGCACGGTTTCTACGAACCGGATATTGATGATGATTGGTCTCCGTCCGAAACAATAAAAACGCTAAATATAAAGTCGGTTGCTGACGAATATGAACATTCTGCCAAAAGAGCTAAACGTGAGCACGACGTTTCTAGTTCTGAGAAAAACGTGAGAATGTCTACGATTGTCGGCGCTCAGCATAAAATAAACGCATCGGAAATTTAATTACAATTAGAAAAGATAATATATTCATTTTTAAAAATCGGCATTTAATTGGTTTTATTTATATTAATGTTATTGTTATGAATATTTTTATTGTACTGAATATTGTTTTAATATATAAATGTATACATACACATGTATGTGAAATAAATATGTATGTTTCAGATTATTGTACGGCTCAAAATAAATACACGTGGATCGAAAAAGTGTTTCTCTTTGAATATAAATTCCACTAATCTACTCTAAAATACTTTTATCTGTATATTACGAATTACTCGAAAGAAAGTGAATACTGTCATGTTTCAAAATTAACTTTTAATATAAATATAGATACTCTTATCATAAATTACAAATTTTATATCAGTGGTAAAGGCACAACATCTACAGAAAATTGATATAAAAAAAGATAAAATAATTGCATAATTCCTATATAAAGTAAAAGCAAAGCAATATTTTCTAGGACACAATAAGAATAAAATGGTTTTAGTACATGTAAAATTTCATTAATAATTTTTGCAAGTAAAATAAGCACATTTTGTACACTGCGACAATAGCGATAAAAGCGACTAAAATATAAAAGCATGCAATTAATGCATGTCCTTAGGAAATTTAATTAAATGGAAAAGCAGTTACACAAATTAACTCAAAATAAACAATGATAAAATTATGTATTAATTAAAGAGATGTCACGACCCTTTGCATATGTTGATTGATGGCCTTCTCTTTATCAGAACTGTCTTCACTTTGTCCTAACGATGCCATTAAATATTGAAGAATATGTTTGTTAAATTTTTGGCCTTTGATATTTGAAATAACACTTGCTTCTCCAGTAAAACCGGTATTTGTTAGACCAGGCGGAATAAAAAAAAATATATCACTAACAATACCCTTTTTAATAACAATTTTTAGCTTCATATTCTCCTTTGAATCGAAATCTGGTTTTGAAAATTCTAAAGGAATTCTTAAAGAGCGAGTTACTGTAAAATCATGAGGATATCCATAGCACCACTCCCACGATTCCAGCTTTTCTTTGATTGAATTGATTCCTACAAAGATATTATTAAAAAAAAAACAAATTTAAAATGGTCATCTTAGTACCTGGAAACCATGCTTCTTTAGGATTGACCATATGAAATCCTTTTTGTTTATTTGCTTCTTCTTGTCCCCCATCAATTAGAGTTACCATATCTGTCCTCAAAAATTCCCATCCCACTGCACTTAACATTCCACTTACAGTGACTTTATGGTTTTCACAATTCAAATTCCACATTTTCTTTTCAAACTGAAATATTTTTATTTTATAACTAAACTTTTATTACACTAAAATATTATTAATTAAGAATTATTATTACCTCTTGTTTACTATTTTCCACTCTGATACTACAATGGTGGTAAGAATTTGGGTAGCCAATTTTTAAGGCAGCTTCACCTAGCTTATTTTATATTAAGGAAAAATTTTCTTTCATAAAAAATATCAAACTATTAACTTTTGTTTCTGCTCACAGTAAGCTTCTCAATATTTTTTTTAATAGTTTAAAATAAAGGATACTTTCATGTTCCTAAGGAATAATTTATTGTTTTCAACATCTATATGGATACTGTATTTTCTAAATATAGCTCTTTTGATTACTTCCAGATTGTGTGTTTGCATAAGATGTTTAGAAGGCGCAAAAAATGTGAAATTAAGATTTCCATTATCTTGGTAAACTGTCTTTCCAGCACTCTGTCTACGTGCTATCTGCATATTGCTTTTTTGATTGTTACCAATATCTACCCACGGGTTTGCGTGCCTACCCATTATAATACAAGGGTCATTTCTCCACAACATTAGCACGTGATGATTCTTAAAGTTCATATTACTATACAACCATTCTTCAAGTGCTAAATTTTCAAAGACGTCTTTCGACTGCGATATAAACACTGATTTTTGAATAGTCTTTGTTGTAGAGTAATATTTAGAAGACACTTTGCAGAGAGCGAACGTAAAACTAGAAATTTTACCCTGTCCTAAAACCATTTTTCTTGTGTATATGGTTCTCAAGTTTTTGGATCAACTATATACAACACAATTTAAGACAGTCCTGTAGCTGTTGTGCCTCCTTTACACCAATTCAATACCTTTCTAATTTAAAATAAGGTTTAGTATATGAAGAAGTAAGAGATACGATGTAGTCGTGAAGAGCAATGGTTTGGTGCAGCCACTTCCAAGTTTGATGCAGGTTGTTCAAACGACACCGGATACCAAGGCAATCTCTAGGGCTATTCAGCATTACTCTATATTCAGTCACTATTTAATTAAAAACACTTCTTATTAATCACAAGGCACTGGTAGACTTTCTGAAAGCAAATACTCTATTTCCAGCAGCTTGGAGAAGAAAAATTTGTTTAATACACTTCACAAACCGATTTTTATGCTCGGCTAAGCTACGCTTTCGAGGAGATTATAAACGTATACAGAATAAATTAGCGTTTTATAACGTTGCCGATTCTAGGGGGCACTTTTATCTTACCAAAGGTCAACACGGATCAACGATTTATTTAAAAAATATGTCACACAATTCTCAATTGACTTCAGTTTCGCACCAGTATCGCAGTATAAGTAGATGCTTTATTTGATAACTAATCGTGGAACTTATTTACGTAAGTAACAAGTGCGATGAAATATAATTTAAAAAAAAAAACAACATGATATGCGGGCATTCAATAACTAGTAGAAGACACCCAGATCTTTTGTTTAATTCGATAATTTTTTAAACAAATAAGATAGAGTCGAATCTAAGGTCATAAAAAGAACTTTATATGGAAATACTTTTACTGTTTGAATAAACAAAGTTTATTATTTGAAATTTTGGTTGTATCAATGGTCAATTTATTTAATTCGATTAAAAAAAGTTTAAATGTTAATATATTATTTTCTTTTACCAATGCATAGTACACAAGAACAACGTGAGTGAAACGGGTTGCTTCCACGTACGGTGCTAATTATTTTCTTATGAAAAAAAAAGTTACTTGAACAAGCATTATTCTTTCGTTTTGAGAAACAAATAACTCTAAGAAATAGAATAATCTACTATTACGTATAATTTTATTAAATTGAAAGAATAAAATAAAATCCAGTATGTTGTCTACATTGATATGTAGCTGAAAAACAGTATATGTATGTATAAATAAAATAATGCAAAAGCATCACATACATTACACAATAAAATCAATTAATTATTTATAATTGAATTATTTAAGGTATAACTTCATGACAGTGACAACAAATACATAGTAAAATATAATTTGTTGCAATATTAGCACACTAACTCTCGTTATCGTTATCAATTAATTCGACGTGAGTAAATGGAAAATGTCCCGTTTTACCATTCAATTCACCTTCCCACTGTCCATTGATATTCATTTTTGTCACAGTTATTATATCACCTATCTCTAACTTAAGTGCAGTTTTATCGTACGCATTCGGTACTCTTACCTGCTTCACTCGCGCTCGAGCAGGAAGTTTTCTCTGGAACA